AATTTAACGCACGAAACCCTATTTATTTAACTTTTTTTTTCTAATGTTATATCGTTAATAATTTACAATACAGTTTTAATTATAGCAAAAAATGTAAATCCCTAATCCTCTTTCTATGAGTCATTTTCAATTATAAAAATGACAATCATTATCATTCTTTATCGTAATTATCCAAAAAAATAGGATTACTACGTTATAATTTTATTCACGATAAAAAAAAAAACAAAAAAAAAAAGAGGAAAGAAATTTATTAAGGATAATCGTGACGATAACATTCACGTTGTCATTTTTCAATCCATACGGGATATATATTTATGTAATTTTATAAAAACCGATAACTTTTTTAAAAACAATTTGCGTCTATAAATCATAATTTATATCTTAATATTACATAGACGTACTAAAAGTAAAGTATAGTGTTTTTTTTTTTTATGAATTACACTGACAATAATGTTACTTCCAACTTTCAGCGGTTTTATTATTATTATTATATACATAAATATATATTTATAGGTATATACATTTATAATTTAATTTTGGAAAACATTTTGAGTAGAGGTCATAATTTAAACTTTGAGGTTTTCCTGCGGTATCCACCTTTCCTGATAAATTCACAGTTTCTCGAGATGTTCACGAGGTGTTGAACTGTGAAGAAATTCGAACAATTGCCTTATATACATTATACGCGTATTACTGCAGTAGGATATGGATGGATACCTATCCGTCCATGTTCAAATGACTGTATATTATATATATATATATATTTAATAATATTATATTTTTGATACACACAATGACTTTATAACATCAATATGTAATTTTATTAATTCAATGAAAATAGTTAGAATATTAAAAAAATATCATTACCACGACAGAGATAAAATGGGCAAGGTTTTAAAAAAAATATTTGGGTTTTTAATTAAATTCATAAATTTCACCGATCGCATTTGTTATCAAAAATTATTACGACATCAAGAAAATTAACATAAATGCTAATTCCTCTCACTAGAGAGTGAGAAATAGCCCAGCCTATATTATGATAGCATGTACAATAAAATTATTCGTCTCTTTTCCGTGCATAGACGCATCCTCTTCTAAAGTGTAGTGACATTTTTGGCGAAAATGAGTTAAGTATGTGAACGTTTAATATTTTATAGACTAGATGGGATTTTTGTTTGAATAATGTATGAATTTTTATGGAATTATAGACTTTCAAATGTCTCTACTGAACAGTTTGTTAAATGTTACTTATTAGCCCACGTGTACACTATTATACCTATATAAGTTTGGCTCCTTATTGTATTTTCTATGTATTTCATAGATATTTTATTTGAAATCTATTTACTATCATAGTTACCTACTTATCACTCTACTAATCATCAAATGCTGTTACTGTGATTGTAACTGTCGCGAATATTGAAACACTAACGATTACGATAATTTTTATTATCCTGTGGACTAAATTTTAGAAAAAAACAATTTTAAAAATATTGAATTATATATAAAACAGGCAACTTATGTTGGGATTTATATTAAAAAAAAAAAAAACCTTAATATCATTACTTGATATAAAATAATATAAATAGCATTCTGCAGATAATTATATTTAAAATGATATTAAAGATTTCTAATATGATAAATTGAATACATATTAAAAAAAAGTTTCTCGATATTAGAATACAATAGAAATTTAAATTTAAAGTTTTTATTGTAATTTAACGACGGAGACGAGACACCGAATCTTGTTTAATCTTAAACGACAGAATAATAACTGATTTGGAATTGGCTTTCTGCTTTTACTCGTGTCAAAATGGATATAAACTCATTAATCAGTTTGAGTCGTATAGAACAGGGAAATCCGAAGAGTATTTATTTTTAATAATATATATTGAATTTTTCCAGAGTTTATCTTCCAGAGTTTATACGCACTTCATTCGAATTCTTTACATTTTTTTTTCTAACTATCAACTATAGGACTGACGGTACAAAAAAAAAAAAAAAATGAAAATTACTTTACAAATATAATATCTTTTATACCGAAATTTACGAAATAAAAAAAAACAAGAATATGTTTAAACATCATGTTATAGGATATACACGATTATTCTACCTATTATATAAAAGATTTATACCAACGTTGCATTTGACAACGGTTTATGGAAAGTGATTCAAAAATATGCAGCACAGTGTTGTTTAATGTAATAATATCACTTTCAAAAAAACCTAAAATATAATATTATAATGTGTTACCATGATCAATTTTTGATACGAGTATAATTTATATACGGGATGATTCACTAAGCGTGCTCACCACTTTTTTTTTGTTCTTTAAATTTTGCTTATATTCAAATTTTGATTTTTGGAATTCTTTTGTGTAGTGAAAGCCGATATTTTCGAATACTTAAATTTTTTACAACATTTAATAAGTATTCTGCGGGGATATCAACTTTGGTTTTTCAAATAAGAACCTACATTAAAAATTCCTGACTGAATATTACCTTAAATACATTTTGTTGTCAACAATTTTGTTTGTCGTCAACTACTTTTCCCTACTAAAACTTGAAAGTGAAATATCTCGTCAACGGGCTGACGGAAATCAAAAATTTAACACAAAATTTATTTTAAAAAAAAATACTCCATTTTTTATATAGGAACTTATTTGATAGACCAAAGTTGGTATTCCTATAGAATACATCTTAAATCTTGTGGAAAATTGAAGAATTCGAATATATCGGCTTTGATTACACTTAAAAATTCCAAAAATCAGAATTTGAATATAAACGAAATTTAAAAAACAAAAAGGGGTGAGCACGATTAGTAAATCACCTTGTATTATATATATATATATAAGTTAGAGAAATAAAGTGTGTAGCTTAAATACAGCTAGGTCGTATTGCTCCATAATATTCGTTTTCGATATAATGTTTAAACAAAATATTGTTTAAGGATGTGCAATTGATATACACAGCAGTACATTCGTTTTTAGGAATACTTCTTTTTATCAATTGTAAATGATTTACATTTCAGAAACATCTGAAAATACTACCTATACTATAATAGATTTCAAATTATTTGTAATAACTATCAAAAATTCAAATGATATGTAATATGGTATTAATATTTATTTTTAGATTTAATTTTTAATTTCGTTAGATTTTTGCCGAAATCGTAATGTAAAAAAATATCGAATTCATTTAAACATCATCATACTTTTATCTGTATATTCGCGAAACAGTTTTTCGTAAATATCATTGTTAATCTCACAACTGTACAGAGTGTCTTACAGTGTTATACTTGAGCTAATAACTCTGTCAATATTCATTTTTTTTTTTTACAATCGGGTTTAATGTAGGGGGATACATGAATAGAGAAAAATTAAATAGTTTTTTTTCATCCTTTAATCACTGAAAATTTTTTTATTTTTCCACATCCTAAAATTTTCAAAATACCATTTTGTAAAAGGTATTATTCTAATAATATTAATATTATATACATTCATATCCAATACATATTTTCTTAGTAATAGCCGTTTTAATTTATAGAAAATTGGCGTGTAAACAATTAATTTTCAATAAATGATAAGTATTTACCGTGTTGATTGTGATTCTTTAACGCTTTACATGTTATTCTATTGAAAATATTAATTGTTTTCAAGCCAAGTTTATATAAATTAAAACGGCTATTACTAAAAACTATTGATCGAATTATGAATGTATGGTACATTCGTTAAAACGTAATAAAATTAAAAGTAAATTTTTCCAATAATTAAGGGATGTAAATCAAGATTAAATTTTTTTTCTCTACGTTTGTGTCCTCGCACAAAAACCTGATTGGAAAAAAAAAGTTGAATATTGACAGAATTACTAACCTAAAGATAACACTGCAGGATACTCGGCGTGTAGTAAAATATACTGCTGATAATGAATCGGGGCCACTTATAAATATATTTGAAGGCGAATTTTAAATTTAATTTTTCTAAAAATGTCGAGAAATGTTTTCGTACGTAACCCCTTAAATACGAAAAGTAGCGTGTCCAATCAAGTACTTACTGCAATCATATCTCGTTACAAATACAAAACATTCACACTCTGAGCATTATGAAATAAAAGTTTAATTTTTAACATATTGAACTATACACAGGAAAAAAAAAAATCAAACGACAGTAATTTAACGCACTTCATGCAGTAATTGTTGTGTACACAATAAATAATAATATGGTATTTGATATAGGTAGCCGAAAAGCAATAAAATATACCCGTTATGATGTTTGCTTATTTTTCTTTGCTGAAACCGACCCGTTATAATAATTAAGTAATTAACAGTTTGGGTACACTGTAACAGCTATATTGGCTCTGTTATCGTGTCGGCAGTGAGTGAGTTAAATGACCTATTTTGTTACCAAATTAATTTTTTAAGTCCTTTTATAGCTGCTGCTATAATTAAGTTGCCACTAAATATTATTGTCGCGAGCGCACATTTTTTTATTTTTCGATACAGTTAATTATTTTTTCAAAGTTTAAACAAAACGATATTATTCGATGTATAACAATAAAATAATATTTGTGTAATGATATTACGTCAATTTTTACATCTTTCAGTCTGCAATTTTTTTTTTTTGTGAACGAACATCATTTCACACAATTTCAGCTGGATATAAACTGGGAAATTTTTGCATAGGGTATTTAACATTTTCAAAATATCGCCGCAGTCTATGAATGGTATAATATAATTATTTTAAGGTCGGGTTAAATATTTAGTGTAACTGACATAAGGTATTTTGTAATTACCGAAATTAACGTATACGTAATCATTGTTAATATCTATTCTGTACGTATTATACCGTGTTAAGTTAATGGAAAAATTACCCACCTAAGTTTTTCGTGATTCATTCAGAATGTTTTACAGAGGATTTACTAAAGAAAAAAAAATCGATAAAATGTAAAGAAGCATATTATTATATAGAAAATATTGATTTTCATCGTTAAAAATAATACGTGAGTCTAACAATGGGGTTCGCACAGCAGCTCTCGAGATGAGTTGGCTTTTGAACGTTTAATCCTGTCGGCAGATAAGTCAGATGTAGCAATTGTAGTTTTTTTTTTCACAGTCACTCGCTGCCACGTGTAAAGTGGTGAATGACTTTTCATTCACACGAACATTGTTGAAATCCGGATGGTTTTTTCGTTTCAATAATTAAAACGCAATCGTTTGGGCGCGTAAATACACTGAGTTCTCGGATATAATGAAATATAGATTGATATCGAAAGCTGCACAAACTTATGAATTTATGAATAAGTTTTTAAGTTTACGATCATTATCAAAAAAAATCAAATGTATTTCTCTGTATTTATCTAAATACGACTAGACACCCTTATTTTCAAGTTGATATGAATAGGACCCGTGTATGTAAACTGTTCGTTTTAGACGATAATGGTAATCGCAACCATATATTTCTTACCTTATTGGAGTTCTGATGCAAGGTGTCGAAAGCTTCCCCTTTAGATATGAGATTCTTCAGTTTCAATGGCTTATGGACTGGGCCGTTCGAATGGCCGTTGGACAATCCTTCTGCAGTATCCAAATCGACAAACCGACTACTGACCAACGATCCTCTTTTTGTATTATTTCCCGGTATAATCAACTCCAGCGGAACTGATTCATCCGGCGTGTCCCGTGCCATTTTGCTCGATTTGTTTCTATAAAAACGGATTCAAAACATATAAAATATAATATATCGTTTTCAGTTTTTTAAGTTTCAATATAATTTATCGAGATTAATCCGAAGTTAGGTTCTGAGTGTAGCGAGTAAAATTTGCTTTTCAATTTTTTTTTTCGTGCATTTAAAAAACTTTTCCACTTGCAATTTTGTTAAAATTTCTATTTTCGAATCGTTAAAATGAGATAGATTTTTTTAGTTTCTATTTCATTTTATTTGGATATAGGTTTTTGGATTCCTGAAAAATTATCATTAATTTTTTGGATTCATAAAAATAATCAACAAATTTAAATGAAAAAAAACACGAACATTTGTTATTTATTTTGTAGCTACAAATTAGTTCAATTTTAAATAAAGGTTTATTGAAACGTGAGTAGCCGAACTGCACTCGGAAGCATTTTTCATTTGCTATGATCTATCATTGCTATTACATATTAGTAATTATGTAAAATATTAAATTACCTATTATGATCTAACTTCCGAACTTCCCACTTACAACATAGCCATGATGCGATTTTTTTTCAAAACATTGAACTTTTTTTTGGTGATAAAATATAGCGAAAATAAATTAAGCGTATTTCGAATAATGAGTTTATGGTAAAGTTTAATTGTTTGAAACGATGGTTATATATTTTTAGACATGCAGGTATTTAATTCATGTCGCTAAATAAATTTTGTTTTTAACTCAATAGTTTTTTTGTTTTTTTTTTTTTTCATTCTTTCGTTTTAATTATATTGGCCTGAAAAATTGAAAAAAATAAAAAAAAAAGAATCTAGAAAAACTTCCCCCTCCATAGAAATGTTGCAATAAACGTTTACTCTAATAATACTAGCGACGACGTCAACGACGTGTTTCATTTGGAATTTCAGGTGGATCGTATTAATATAAAAACACTCCCGTCAATACTATATAACTCAGAAACTTTGTATAATTATTAAACGTTTCGATCGCTTTTTTTTTTTTTTAGTAAATTGCTGGATGTAAATATATTAAACCATTGCCTATTATATTTTATATAAAACACGAAACGCGATTATTTGTAGCAATAAATACCCAATTGATAAAAAAATGTACGACAATTGATGAGAAAACAAACTTTCAATGTTATTAAAATATATATTTAATAAATGTTTTGATGGAAGATCTTATAGGCAGGCGGGAGACCTCGCAGAGGAGATCGCGGACTTCCCTGCCTTCCTTGCGCGAACGCCAACGATTTAATTTGTCTCATATTAGTGTCCTGCGGATCTCTGTTGATATATAATTTTTCTATAAAAATTTCTTTCAGAGGGGGGGCATTTTTAGAAAAAAATAAAAGTTTTAGTATGTCTAGAAAAATATAACATTTTATTTATTTACATTTGCTCACAAAATAGTTGATTTGTAATAGATTTTAATTTAATGATGTTTTTCTATAAGATACATACACATCCGAAGAACAATTTCTTAATAATACCCGTCTAATTTTCTAGAAAAGTGATTTGAAACATTTATAACCAATAGACTACTGCATAACGCAATAGGGTATCACTATCGTAATAAAACTATTAATTAGTAACTATTTTTACAATAAGCTGGTGTTCATTTTATTCTGTAATTATTACGATGAATAATTTATTATGTTAGAATTTTTTTTTTTTTTTTTTTTAATGATTAAAGGTGAAAATAAAAATTTAATTTTTCTCTAAATATATTGTGTTCTCTGAATGGAAAAAAAAAACAATAATTTAAAAAATCGAATATTTATATTGAGATATAAAAATCCGTAGTCCACAATGGAATGCCCTGTATGTATATTATATATATATTTCTGTTGGGCAGTCATACCTTTTATTTGAGAAATAAATTATTGGTGTAAAGTGTATGTTTGTATAAGACGTGTAACCCGTGAAAGTATACTTTGAGGATTGAACACACGAGTCATAGAATACTAGGAATTTTCTTTCAAAGAACCAATCAAAGTTCTGAAAACCTTGTAATCAAATTTGATTTACCTTATGTGTGACATGATCAATTTTTTTTTTTTAAAGATATAAACAATTTTTTTTATACAAACCGAATTCAAACTATTCGTAAATCTCAACGCAGTTCATCTACGAAACCATTTTCCGTCTATTGTTTTATTTGCGAATAAATATGTTCTATTTCTATCGAGTAAACATACAATTATATAGATACTATTATTGGTTATAAATTATACTATGTTTATCTTAAAACAAAAACCCCACAGTTAAAAAAAATATAGAAAAATTAATTGGTCGTATAAAGCGATATTCTCATCTCTTAAAGTTGTGCAAATTAATATGATAAAATTTAACTTTAGTGTTCGCTTTTATTTTTTTTTTACTTAAGTTTTTGAAAAAACGATTGAAAATCCATTATTTATTTTGTTCGAAATTTGCCCTGCAAGGTACATTTCTTTTTAAAATTTTTTTATTTTAGGTTTTTAATTTCCTGTAAAACTATTATGGTATCGTCATCACATTACTTTAAGCCGATCGTATACGTTTTAAAGATCCGTAGGACAAAACATATTTTCACGAATAAAATACGAAGATCCCAATCTCTAAAAAATATCTATCGAACTTATAATTTTCAAATGGCATCCTTTGATTTTAATAACTTAAAGAAAATGTTCTTTGTGCACACGTCCAAGTCTATATATCTATTACTTACGCTTCGTATATTATTAATTTTTGGCAACTACAATTCGGTAAAATTCCTATTAGGTTGAAATGTTCGCTACTTAAAATTTTGATTTTTATTTGAAAAATGTTTTTAGTCAAAAATTATTTGCACTGATAAGAATCTTGTGTGACAGGTAAATTCGTTTATTTTTTGATTTGTACACGAACATTACCAAATTTATAAAACAAACTATTATAATTTTAATTTAATTTTACCAGTAAACATTTTGTGCATTCAAGGCTTAATATTTCATTGTTGACGGTCATTCTATCCCAAAATATCATAATAGTGTATTATGGTTTTTGTGCATTATGGTCCCATCACGAGATTTTTATATTTCAAACCAGAGGTGAGTTAACGAATAGGCCAAGCAGGCATGGGCCTATTGCGTGCCATAATTTTGTGTTGCACAAGGGGTGCGAACATTTTTCTTCTTCCATTAAAAACAAACAATGGAAATTCGTTATTTCATTGAATTTTAGTTGAACTATATCTTCATAGATGGTGTTTGAAGTCTGTGGCTGCCGGTGGCTTATATTAAGTAGGACATCGTAAACAATTATTCTTATAGGTTTTATCTTATTATGCTCTATGATTATACGAGGTCTACAACAATATCAAATTGATTGAATGCGTTATCTATATTAAACATAGAAAATTAACTTTTTAAAAGTTTGGATTATTTTGATATAGTAACTGAATTCAATACCAGGAAATCCGGGAAAAAAATTAATTGAAATTAGTATTTTATGTAAAGGTAATTACTAAGTAATTAGTATAATAATTAATTATTAAACACTTATTTTTATTGTACTTTGCTTTTATACGATTTTTTCAATGTAAAATGCACGTTTACAAAAAGAATACAAAAGATTCTGAGCGAAGCACGGAATATATTGATTACAATGATGTTTATTTTTTTTTTTCTATAAACAACATTTCTACCAACAATATTACTCCGATTTACAATAAAAATAAATATAATAAGGGCGCCATTTTATATAAAGCCTAAGGGCGCTAAATGTCTTAATCCGGCACTGTTTCAACCACAACCTAGGTACCCGATGTGATTTTTCAACGATTAAAGGTTTTAGGGTTTTTACTGACTTCCTTGTAATATTGAGTTTGGTCGAAGTGATTTTTTTTTTTGTCAGCGTTAGTGTAGGTGCAGGTCTCTATGGCTACGATATTCGTATTATAATTTTGTTGGCAACTGGGTATAGAAAAATATCCGTAAACTCTGTATGATATACGAATCTTGTTTGGTAATATTTTTCAAAAAAAGTTTACGAATTCGGACATCAACAAACTAAAAGTATAGATACACCCTATAGCTAGTTTGACCGGTTAAACCTATAGGGATTGACCGATGTTCAAATTTCGACCGTAACGTAACACATAAATCTAATATTTTACTAATGACAGTTTGTTAATACTATTGTATCTAAAGTTATTTAAAAACTTTTGAGAGATACCAAAACTAACTAAATACAAACGGCAGATATATACCTAATGAAGTTACTGTGTACCTATGAAATATCCTATTCCCATTTAGGTGATTATACTTAATTATATTAAGAATTAATATTATGATAAATTTCATATTTTTTTAAATATATAATATAGCAATGTTTACATTATAAATTCATTCCAGTGCAACGGTTGCATGCACTAAGTAAAAGAAGAGAAGCGACAGTGTGTATAATATCGAACAACAATTATCACATTTAAACACATGTAAAACAGTTCATGTTTTTTCCGCATAACAGAAACTACAGAATTGATTAACTTCTAATTTATGTCAAAACATTGAAAATATTACTGAAACGTGCCTTTTTCTAATTTCATGCAAATCGGTTCAACAGAACGGAAGTTATGGAAATTAATGTTCAGAATTTTTACAAAAAAAAATAATATTGATATGGACCAATTGGCTTATGCGTAAATTAAAATTTCCTTAAGTTGTTGTTAGGATGCAATCCGAAAGTATTCTGAAATAATAATAATAATGTGCAACTAACAATATTTTCTCAGTGATGCATGTTAAAATTAATCGCAAAAAGAGGTAGTATCACAACAAAAACACTTCTCCTACAGCTACGTGTAAAAAAAAGGTTAAATAAAAAAAAAACCACCAGTTATTACGTATCTTGTGTATAGTGTTCAGCATAATAAAGTAGTGATATTTTGTCATGCTAAGTAAAATTGTCGATTTACTTAGTGAGGGCAAATAAAATTTCCTTAATAGCTATAATAGCAAATAGTGAGGAAAGTT